GCATAGATGATTGACATGCATTTTGAAGTGGCACAAACTAGTGGGAACGACTATCATGCCAAAAAAGCAATTACAAGGGAATAATGAATAGATCTGCTTTCATAATGGGAACGATGTACCTTTTGGAATCGATTCACCGACACAGAACGAAAGCAAATTGTAAACTGGTTTAAATGTAAGTGGGAATGAGCCCGAAGTGGTATCTTGGATGTTTCTCTTATCCTCAGAGAATATATTCCACATTAGTAAAAGGCATAAGAGATCATCTCTAGTCAACAGACTAGTCAAACAATGTCAGTTGACTACTCATTATTTGCTAAGGGTCAAATTCCATGAAGATACCCCAACTAACTTTCCTAACCTTTTAAATGTTATGATGGTATCACTTGTCAGCTGGTGGGGGTAGTGAGGGCTCTTTGCTCCTAGATTCCTTAACATTCAGAGAGCCATAGCTCAGTGGCAGATCACATGCTTTCCACTGAAGGTTCCTGGTTCAATCCTGAGCTTTTCCAGGCAGGGCTAGGAAAGATTCCTGCCTGAAACCCTGGAGAGCAACTGACAGTCAGTTTTAAAGGTGATGATATCAATTTCTATTCAGAAATGTGTTTTAATTTATTAGTTGTATAATGGAGTATAAGGCAAGGAGTGGTTGGGAGGAATGGCATTTTAGAGTGAATGAAGATTGATGGAATGTTTGAGGAGATTTGTATAAGATGTAATTTACATTTATTTATTTACTTGGCATAAATGCTCTTTCTACTTAGCATAAAAAAAGACAGAAGAATAGCAACACTTTTTTAAAAATTGTTTTTCAAGGCATTTATGCTAAGTGGATAACAGATTTTTTTTAAAAAAATCAAGGGTTGTTGTTATTTATCTTTGTTTAAAAGTATGGAGAGTCAGTGTGCTATCTTGTTCTTTTTAAAGAGGACTGTAGGCTTACACTGGTGTTCCAGGATAAAAAGCAAAAGAAAACAATTTAGCAAGCCTTTCACGCTTATAAATAATATTACGTAACATGCAGAAAGATTATTTTTAAATTACATTTTAACCAAAGTTGATCAGCAAAACAATTTTTCTTGTTCTAACAGCAACAATAAATGTTTTTGCTTCCCCAATAACATGAATGGTCTAAGAACACTCTATTACAATCAAATGACCAATCCTAATCAGATTAGACCAGATATTTCACCAAGTACCCTAACAATGGCAGATATGAATGGATAGGGGCTTTTTTTTTTTTTAACCCAGAAGCAAGTGTCTTGGCCAGCGTGGCAATAGAAAGCCAATGATTCTACTCCATCACAGCTGATGGACTGGTGGGGAAGTTGTAGTCTTCTATATGTTGTTGGACTGTAGCTCTAATCATCACTGGCCACTGGCTATAAAGGCTTGGAGCTGATGTTTAACAACATCTGGTGGGCCCTAGTTTTCTCAACCCTACTGTGAAATTATTTTGTTCAGGGCTAGGAAACCTTCCAACAGATAGATCAAGGAAGAGATGGAGCAACTGTAATTTGTTCTGCTCACCTCAGTTAAGAGCCAGGGATGATCTTGGATTAGTCGATCCCAGTCTGTATCAGGTGTCACTCTTGCATATTTGAAACGGTTCTGGATGGCTGACGATGTACAAATATACTTATATAAGAATTCTTTTCCCGTCTGTTCAGAAATGGCTTTGGCAGACATGGCTACCTAAAGCAAAGGGATACATTTTAAGATGACAATTTTAAAACATTGTCTGACAATTAATTTAGGTATTTAATAATAATAATAATAATAAAATTTATTTATACCCCGTCCAATGGTAATCCAATCCGGGCGGCTTACAGATTAAAACACACAGCACAGTGCTACTACAGGAAATGTTTCTACTATTGTTAAGATTGTTACTTTTCAATACTAGTCATTGAGCCAGGAACCAATTTATAACATTTGTGGTGCAATGAAATTCATAATGCACAAGGAGAATACATGCCCTTGCGGTTAAGAAAAGATTAAAAAAAAAAACCTTTTCATTGAGAAAACAAGTATATCTTGGAAATGTCATGTTGAAATATCTCTCTCCTATTTCAAGTGTAAATTGGAGTGGTATAATCCAGGAAGGTTGTACCATATGATCTCCCTCATTCTAAATAAATATGGTTCTGGTAACCCTAGAAGAGATGGCATTCAGGCGACAGTTTGGATGGTCTGCAGAATATGTTATAAGCTGGACCTAGAAGTGTCAAGAGACCCAAGATGGTGTAGTGGTTTGAGCATCTGACTGTGACTCTGAAGATCAGGATTCAATTCCCTGTTTGGCCATGGAAATCCACTGGGTGACCTTGGGCAAGTCACACACTCTCAGCTCAAGAAAACCCTGTAATAAGTTTGCCTTAGGATCACCAAAAGTCAGAAGTGACTGAAGGCACACAACAAGAAGTGTCATAAGAACCCAAGAAGAGTCCAGCTGGATCAGACAGAAGCCTATCTCACCCAACCTTCTGTTTCCCAAGTAGCCAACCAGATGATTCTGGGAAGCCACCAATGCAGGATGTGAGGGCAAAAGCCTTCTTCTACTCCAGTCGTTCTTACAGCAACAAATAGATTTTAAATCAGAAGTGAATTATTTCAGAATGTTGACCTGTCAAATAAGCGTGTCTGAAACTGGAGGATACATAAAGCAATCATTTTAGACTTTTTTAAAAGTGATTTTAATTTAAAGCATTTTATAACTGATTTCATCTGTATGCTGCCCTAAGAGCATGTGATATAAATATTTTAATTAATAAATCAGTAATAAAATCCCTCCAACTCATAATTCCTCTGTGAAACTGTCTAAGTGAAAGTCAAATAATAATTTACTATGCTCTTAGCTTAATAGTTCCAGAAAGTACAGGCTTATGTGATATTTTGATCTCTTATTCTACATTTGTAAAAATATTAAATAATGTCTGAAACAAAGCCTCATGTCAGTAATTATGGCAACAGGCCCTCCCTGTGATAAGTGAATGGGGTGAAAATGAGGCTTTAAAGTTTTACTTTTGTTAGTTCAAAAATTGAAAGGGGTGGATATAGGAGAAAGGGAATCAATTAACTCTGCAGCAAGTTATTGCTGTTAAGTATATTATCTATGATAATCAATTAACTTAAGAGAATCCAGATTAAAAAGAATGCTTAAAAGGGAACTGAGACGAGTGCTAAATCTTTCCTTTGTTCTGCAGTCCCTGAAAATACAGAGAAATGATAGGAAGAAACACTTTCCTTTCTGAGAAGGATGAAATAAAAATGCAGAATACAGAAAAGAAAAGAGCAGAGAGAGGCTGCAAGATGCTTTGTCTCCCTCTGAAGCTGAGAGAAAGTGAATCTATCACAGGGTTTTCTTGGCAAGATTTGTTCAAGGACATTTGCCTTTCTCTAAGGCTGAGAGAATATGACTTGTTCAAGGTCACCCACTGGATTTCCATGGCTGAGCAGGGATTTGAACCCTGGTTTCCAGAATTGTAGTCCAATGCTAAAACCGCACCACCATGCTGGCTCTAGAAAGACAGCCATTATATGTGTCTTTAACACTACACACTACCTTTATACCACTTTAACTGCTATGGCTTCATCCTACTGAATCTTGGGATTAGTAGTTTTGCAAGGTATTTAGAATTCACTGTCAAAGTGCTGTAGTGTCTCATTGACCTATAAATTCCAGGATTCCATATGATAGACACATATCAATTAAAATGGCATCAAAGTTGTAATGGAGAGCCAGTGTGGTATAGTGGTTTGAGTTTTGAACTATAACTCTCAAGAACAGGGTCCAAACCTTGGTCTTCAGAGCTGCAGTCTAACACTCAGTACAGTAAATTCTATATTGTTATAACCATGGAAACCCACTGGGTGACCTTGGGTAAGTCACTCTCTCTCAGCCTCAAAGGGAGGCAATACCAAGGCCCCTCTGAACAAATCATTTCAAGAAATCCCATGATAGGGTTGTCTTAGGGTCACCATGACTTGAAGGCACACAACAACACAAAGTGCTATCATTGTGTAGCATGAAAAGGCCTTAATCTGTTGGACCAAAAACAAAGGCTTGTGGGACCTTAAAGAATGATAGGTGTATTAAGGCATAAAACAGAAATAAGATTAATTTGGGTAGGGGTTGCCTTTGTCTTCCTCTGGGGCAAAGAGAGTGTGACTTGCTCCAGAGCACCTGGTTGGTTTGCACAGCTGAGGGGGGATTCAAAACCTGGTCTCCTGAAAGCCCTAGTCCCACACTACACCATGCTAGCTCTCTGCAAAAATGTCATTGGTTCTTTACTAAAACTTCTAGACTCACTAGCCATAAATACATACAAAGGACATATATCTTGAACTATACATTCTGAACCAAATGATTTGTTTTGAGTACTGCAAGCGAATGGAGCTGACAGTCCTTCCACACAAAATGGTTACCCTTTCCTTTTAGCGGTATAATTTGGGGGATAGTGGTGGAAGGAAATGCTATGTTACTGCCAACTACATGGAATTTGAAATGCTTGGCAAATTACTTGAAAATCTACCAGTAGATCTAAATCTACCTACAGGTCATTGTTCTTCAGGCTATTCCTTCATAGCAAAAGACATGCTAACAAACTTATCTTAACACATCCAGGTCTACTTGTTTTACAAGAGCTCTTTACTATGCTCTTGTTTCAAGGACACATTTTGTTAGCTTTGTTTTGAACCGAGTGTCTTAGCTTAGAGAAGATAAACCTGTGGTTCCCAATTGCCCATGCTTTGCAAATGAGCAGCCTCCACAGACAAAAGTCCTTGAGAAAGCGGATGGGCTGGAAAAACAAGGTATCTTTTAGGGGAAGTTAGGCATTCTTTTGAGAGTCAGAATGGTGTAGCAGTTTGAGTGTTGAACTAAGACTAGGAAACCAAAGTTCAATGGCCATGGAGGCCCACTGGGTGACCTAAGTCAGGGGTAGGCAACCTTTCCCCTTTAAGGGCCGAGGGACTTCAGCTCCCAGAATCCCAGGAGCTATTGGCCAACATGGGACTATTGGCCAACATGGCTGAGGCTTCTGGGAGCTGAAGTCCCTCGGCCCTTAAAGGGGAAAGGTTGCCTACCCCTGACTTAAGCAAGTCACACCCTCATAAGGAGGCAATGGCAAGTCCCTCTGAAAAAATCTTGCCAAGAAAACCCCGTGAAAGGGCCATCTTAGGGTTGCTATTAGTCAGACACAACTCAAAGGCACACAACAACAATAAGCCATTCAGTCACCTCTGCCCCATATCTCCATATCCAATGATCAGGTCAGTTTATGGGGAAAGCACCACATTTCCTTACCACCACTGATGAGCAAAAGTGTTGTATACTAGTCTTTCCCAACCAGGCTTCCTCCAGAGGTGTTGGACAACAGCTGAATGAGGATGATGGAAGTTGTAATCAAACACACCTGAAAGAAGCTAGGTCAGCCAGATTAGATCTTTCATCTGTAGAAATACTGGGCAACCTAATTTTTAAAAAAGGAGGAACCACAGCACAGTGGTAAAACATAGTAATTTGAGGAAGCAGGTTCAGTTTTTAAAAACATAGTGGCAACATTAGGAAATATATTTTCCTTGGAAAGCCACTGCTAGTCACAACAGTATAGGACTAAACAAGCCAAAGTTTCAAATATTCCCATTATTTGTTTTAAGATAGTGTATCCTACCTCAAAAGTAACTATTAAAGTGGCTAACCAATACCAATAAATAATTAGAAGAGTAACACTCAAACAAGAAAACCAAAATTGGCTTTCAGAAGGGTCTTGTAATGTGTTGAAAATGTAGGCAAGTGAAATGGTTAGAGGTGCACTTGCTGGGAATTTCAGCTCCAGGATATTTCTTCTTCAGGTATCTGTTGTTGTGTGCCTTCAAGTCATTTCCGACTTCTCACGAACCTAAGGGAAAGCTATCATGGTGTTTTCTTGGCAAGATTTATTCAGAGGAGGTTTGCCACTGCCTTCTCCTGAGGCTGAGAGACTGTGACTCACCCAAGGTCACCTAGTGAGTTTCATGGCCAATCTGGGCATCAAAACCTGGTCTCCAGAGTCGTAGTCCAATGTTCAAACCTCTACACCATATTAGCTCATTCTTTAGGTATAGCCAGGGACTTATGGAGGTCCTTCCAAAAACATATGGCTAAAAAAAGGTTTTAAAATATACTCTCTAATAAAGTCTTTTAAAATCTCTTCTGGATTATGTAAAACAGGGGGGAGGGACAGAACAAAAGTTTTCTCCTTTCCATTTTTTAAGCCTGCAAGACTTCACAGTGCAGCAGGAGGCAATAAGGACACAATAATTAAAGCAATCAAGCTGAAGAGTGTGTTGATTGAAGAGCCTCTCTATCAACTACCAAAGTTACAAGATGCAAAGGTAAGGAACAGATGAAGCCAGTGGTGTGTATGGGGGGTACGTTTTATTATACTTGCAATGCAAGCCAATATATCTTTGAGATGTGAGTTCAGAAGTAAACAGGTTCCTAAACTATGGAATGACCTGTCGGAGGAGATCCGTCACATTATGTCTCTTGATGCTTTTAAGAAGGCTGTCAAGACAGATCTCTTCTGGGAGGCCTTCCTTGACTGATCAATTGATCGTTCCATGATACTGATGTAGGCTGCCCTTGTTCGTCCCATAATGCCTCATTTTAATTTGTTTAATTTAGTTAATGTTATTCACTGAATGTATTTTATGATGCGGTGTTAGTTTTAATTGGGAGTAAAGAGATCATGCTATTTTATCATGTTATTTTATAGCTGTATTGTTGTATTTTTATGATTGTTATCCGCCTCGATCCTTCAGGGAGAGGTGGGCTATAAATAAAATTGTTGTTGTTGCCAAATTGGGTGCCTTCTAGTTATGTTGTGAGAAATGAAAGACTCCAAGGTTGCTATAACCCCAAAGCATAGGGCCTGCTACATCACAACATGATAGAGTACCCCCACTGAAGGAGGTACTTCTGCAGCATATTGGGTCATTCAGCTACTCTGCCTGAAGGGCTACAGTACAACTATTTGCTTTCAGGGAGAGGCTTTAGTGTGAACTGCTGTTCGGAGAATGTCGTCTGACAGGATGGCGTCTCTTCTCCTTTATTCGGTGCACACACTGAGAACAGCATCTCACACAGAAAAAGCACTAAGACTGAAAAACTCAGGCCCTCGAGGTCCGTGATGGAAATTATGTGGCCCTTCAGATATTGTTGAAGTGGAACTCCCAGGAGCCAGAACAGCTAATGGTTAGCAGTGCTGGGAGTTGTATTTCAACAACACAATTCCTGCCTCTGCTCCAGTTGTTTTGACCTA